GGTCTCGGGCCTTTTTCTGTGCTTTCAAAAACCTCTCACAGTCACAACACAACGACCCTTGAGTTGAAGGAATGAGTCCCTAGTAGACCTCAGCTCAGAGCTGTCCAGCTGATTCTCTGGCGCATAGGCCACAGGCCTAAACCCTCAATCCTAGGCTCACAGGTCAGTTGCCCGCTTGCATTCAGGACTCAGGGCCCTTCAGGGCCTACTCTGGCGGAGGACCGTTCGCTTCCGGTATTCCGAAAATGAGGGCTCAGAACGCCCCAAAGCTACAGACCACCAAAGCCTAAGCCCTTTTGCAACAGGCTGGCCACTTCAACCCGAAACCCTGAACCCTAAACCCTCAATACTAGAGCCCCCGTGGTGCGGTCCTTGGCGCAGGGCCACCGCCAGGAGGCTCCCGGTTATCTGCTTGCCGTGCTGGGCCTTGGGTCGGCTTTGGGTCGCTGTTTAAAGGGGCTCTGTCCTAGAGGAACCAGGCTGCCTTGATATCATTCTATTTTTATGCATACATGCTACCATCATGACAACCACCGCACGTGCAGAGCTCCTGGCCGCCATCCCCGCGACCTCGCCGGCCTGGGGGCTGGAAAGAAGCACTCACTTGTGGGTTCAGGGGTAGGGCTTCGTCTGTCGCGCTTTCTTTCGTACCTTGGGCCACAAAAGCTGGGTATGGTGCTCCGAACAAGCAGTCTGGCACAGGAATTCAACAGCGCATGTTTGCGCAGGCTTCATCCACCTTAAGGGAGGGCACAGGCCCGATGAAACACAAGAAGCTCAGCCCCAAAAGGGCTAGCCCAAGGCTATCAGAATCAACTCAGATCCCCAGAAACATTGAACCCTAAACCCTCACCTCCAAGCCCTCATCTCTCATCTCGGCCCCGGGCCCGAAAAGAAAACCGCTGCGCTCGCCAGGATGCATTCTGCTCCAGCAGGAAGCACAGGGCTTCGCCTGAGGGCGCTTGCTGCTCTCAGTCTTCTGAGTGTGGCGTTTCGAAATTGTCTTTTCTACAGGTCGGGTTCCGAAAGCAAACATGAGGTACCCAACTCCCAATTCCCCTACTGCGGGCCAGGAAGATCTAGGCAGAAGGGCTGGCCTTTTGCAACCTCGATGACTGCATCTCAACAGCAGCTTGTGCTAACTCCAGCTGCCTTCGTAAACATGTACTGACAACGAAGCAAAGGATTCACCCTGCACCTCCGGGCTTCTCCAAGAAGACAGCACAGAGGCCGTCGCGAGGCAAACCCCAAGTTGTCTGAGAAGCCCTGAAGTGAACAGGAACCCTGAAGTCGAAACCTTCTTAGGCCATGTGAACCCTTGTACATCCAGGCCTGTGAAGTCTGCCGGCCAAGTGAACCCTGAGTCCGCGAACCCCTTAAGCCACAAACCTTGAAGCCCCAAAATCACCCAAAACTCCAGACCCATGCGCCCCAAGAACAGGTCAAGGGTTTCGGGTTTATAGGCCTCAAGACCCAATCCCACGAAACAGACCCTGCTCGGCGGACACCATCAAGTAGCAATAGTCATCAGACTAGGACTCGTAATCGTCGTGGTCGTCGTCGCCGCCGCCGCCGGAGGAGGAGGAGTAGTAGCAGTAGCAGTAGCAGTAGCAGTAGCAGTAATCATCATGCCCAGCTTGGTTTCCAGGCAGTCTCCCTCATGGATTGCCGCCTCCGGGCTGGCTTCCAGTTGGTAGGGTGAGGGTTTAGGGTTTTAGGGTTTAGCGTTTTCGGGTTTAGGGCTTCGGGTGCAGGGTTGAGGCAACATTTAGAGGAGGCCACCTGTGTACCCTGGTGCTCCAATGACTCCTTGGATTGTTGGGCGGCCTTTAAAGGCCCTCCCTCCTCCAGGTGCCAAAGGCTTTGCATTGGGCCTGGGTTTGAGGATTTATGGCTCAGTTGTCCAGCTTACTTACTTTGCCGATATTCTACCAGTGATGTCTTCTGCACCGAAGCGCACAGCTTAAGGGGCATTGCGAACTCAAGACCAAATTGCTGGACCCTGAAGGGTTTCCCGACCAGTGAGCCATCTGGGGGCGCGGGGAGTTCTTCTAACTTCGGGTCCCTCTTCTGATACGGAGAGCCTTTGATTCAGGGTGTCCGGACAGGGCCGCGAAACCCTTCGAAATCCCTTCAACCTTCCGGGATTCGGGGCCACATGGGTGCCTGCAGGGTCTCCGGTAGCCCGGGTGCCGGATCACTCCTGGCTCTTGCTTCAGCCTTTATTTGACTAATTTCTGTTGCTTGTTCGTTTCTTTTTTTTTTGGGGAGGAGGGGAATGTCCTTTTCATAGAAGAGTCTCTTTCAAAAGTAGCCTCAAGGGTCGCCCTATTTAGGAACGAGCCCCCCAAGAAAGGTTAGTCTGGTTGCCTCATGCCGAACCTTAACCTCGGCCTCAGGTTTGATTGAGGCTTCAACCCTTTTGCCTAAACACCTCCGGCTTGAGCACTTCTAAGACTTTCGATGCTCACAGGGGGCTCGGGGCTTAGGGCTATCGCGGTTGTCCTTAAAGTATAGTCGCGGTTCCTTCACACCCTTGGGCCCCGACGTATCTGCATCCATCCCATTCCAGGCAATCCGGGCGCCATGAAGGGTGCCCGAAACACTAAACCCGGGGTTGTGGGGGGGAGGGCCTGGGTGGGGCTCAGAGTCCGGTTTAGTGTGGTCCTTGAGGTCATGCACTGGGGGTCAAATCGGGCTAAAGGAGATTCTGAACCAACTCCACGAAACCTCCCTTTCTTCAGGGCCCTCTCTAACAAGAATGGATATTCTGGCCAGGTCCTGAAGCAGGATTTCTAAGGGGATCATGTACTAGGCTCGGAACCCTGAGCCCTTTTGTCATAGGGGACTTCGGCGCGCGCGGAAGCACGGATTTGGCCAACACATCCCGGGCACGCGGGATCGTTAAATAAGCCACAAGGCCGTAACATCAAAAGAGGTAAGAAGTATGAACCGTACTTATCACTACACTGGAACCTACATGTCATGTCCTGGAATGCCAGGGCTTGAGGTTGCTTTGGCCCTTAGGAAAGCTGAGGTCAGCGGTTTGAGGGTTCGGGGAGTCTTTGCGTGGAATGTTTGTTCTGCTCCGCGCCTTGGGCCCCCCTTGTGGAGCAGCCGCTGCCCGTAGCACGCAAGTTCAGGTTGCTGAGGGGGTGCTCTTGCTTCAGGATTCGCCCAAAGACCACTTGAGCTTGAGGTATGGGGCTTCTGCTGCGGTTTAGAAGTTATGGGTTTCACGAAGGCGTTCAAGTGGTAACCCGAGAGTTGATACAGTTCGAACACTTCACGAACCTCCTTACGCGCCACAAGAGCATACAAGAGCCGTCAAAGCTCACCCCAGCCCTGCACAGCTTCATCTGACTCTGCTTTCTTTCTCTTGCTGTCATCTCACATCTCGGAACCCCTAACGCATGAGCTGCTGAGGATCCTAAAGGGATTCCCGATCTCGGGTTCACGGTCGACGTGTACGCCCGTGTGCGCGTGTCTTGTGGAACTGGGCAAAGCCTTATTGGCACATTGTTTGTGTGGCCTTTGCCGGAGTTCGCAGGGTTTAAGGAACGGCCCACAGGTTTCGAGTCCGGGGTCATGAGCTCCCTGGACCCAAAAAACCCCAAACCCTCAATGCCATGATAGGCAGCAATTTGCTGAGAAGAATCTAAGCCAAAAATGTGTAGACATGCCGTGGAAGGTTCGGACGTATGGGCCGATGGCACGCGCAGCCTCCACTGCCCCTTGGACATCGAAACCCGTCACCTTCCCAACAGCATACCATGCCGGCACACTACAGTAAGCCTACCAGCCTTCCAAAAGCCTTAAGCGCGAAGGGCTGAGTCTGCAAATGAGGATCATCACTGGTGGCTGGCCACGTGAGAAGCCGGTTCTTGGAAGGACGGCACTATACGAGACGGCCAAAGTCACTCTGGGAGACCCACGTCTCGGCCACGAGGAGCACACTTCGCTTGTTTCAGGAGGACTCGGGAATCTGAGATTCGTGCTTTAGGCCTAGGAAGGCCCTTAGAGCCCATTGCAGAAGATCCCTGAATACGATCCTCTTAAACCCAAGAAGGGAAAATTCAAAAACATGTCCCAAGGGCCGAGAAGCCTTCAGTTCAAGGAGAAAGTGGGGTGCTGCTGGAAAGTTCGGTAGCATACTTCGCTGGCTGTTTTGACGGATGCAGAGCTGGCATGGCACTTGGTCATGCATATTGTACACTAAGCCCTGCCTAAACCCTAAACCCTAAACCCTAAACCCTAAACCCAAAACCAGCACTAAAACTTAACTTCACCGGCCAAGCCGGGCCCCCCAAGTGCGGCGGCCATCCTTGCGTGTTGAGCGCAGTTGAACGCCCTTCTCTGAATTCTCAAGAAGCCCGCGAACAGCCCTAGGGTTTAGGGTTTAGGGTTTCGGGCCCGTTTAGGGTTTAGGGAGCCCAACTGCACCCGGATGTAGGCTGGAGAATGAAAACCCACACCCTTTTGCCAGGGTGACAAGGTTCAGGGGTTGAAGTTAGTGGAGGGTTTTGGGCTCCGTCTGTTTTTCTATAGAAAACGGCACCTTCGTTTCACTTGGTGCTGGCTTGGGAGCTTCGGAATTTAAAACCGTTGCAGCTTGGAATGCCAAAAAAACTCCCGTCGCGGTGGCTTTAACCAGACTCACGTCTCGGATGCTTAGGTTTAGGCCCACGAAGAGGCGCACAAGACCTCTACGCTTTCCTCCGCAGTGGCTTGTTCATAGCAAGGTCTTGAACATCAGAGACGTGAATGCCGCAGGGTCGTAGTGGAGCACAAGCCATCAGTACCAACAGCCAACGGATGACTACAAGCAACACAACATTTGACAAACAGAAGCTCTGTCCTCATTGAAAAGGCTGGGGGAGATCCCGAGCCTTCGTCGACGAACTCCCCGGGCCGCAACTCCATGAAAGTCTTTACAACTTTACAACGTGAGCGCTCGGCGGTTCTTTGAATCTGCTTGTCGCACAGTTTTGGCTTACATGTCAGAGAGGCACCTGAGTTCCGGGGGGCGCCTGGTCATCGCGATGCTCCTCCGCCACCGCTTTTCAAACCCCTCTGCTGAAGTGATTTCTCTTACACAGGGGAGGCAGTTACTTTCACAGTTACATGTGCCCGCAGAGTGCGGGGATGGCTCTCGGCGGCCCTGAAACCCGCAACCTGCATCAACCCCCCTTCCGAACGTCGAGGCCCCAAGTCCCGCTGACGCACTTCCCAGTCGGCTTGCGGAGGATTGTGGGGTGTGGGCTAAGGATTCCAGATTCAATTTTATACTTCTTGCCACCTGGCCTAGCTAACGGGTTGTGCAGTTGGCAGGCCAGTCCGAAAACTTCGGAAGACCCAAGCCCGAGTCCAGTTACACTTTGTCACAGCCATGGACAGGATCTTCACTCCTTGCTGGGCTCGGTGTGCTCAACCTGCCCAACCGCCCCCATCTCGCCGCCTGGGAGGAGGCCTCGCGAGCGGCCTGAGAGAAGGTTTTTGATTTTGGAGATCCTAAACCCTAAGCCACAAGCTCCAAGCTGCCCTAGCCCCCCCCCCCCTCCCCCTAAACTCTAACCCCCAAAACAACCCCCAAAACCTAACACCCCCAAAGCCCCAAACCCACGGCCGAGGTGCTGATGGACACCAGGACCTTCAGGTCCTGGCATTCCAGGGGTTCAAGAGTCTCGCGTCGATTTTTTGGGGGGCACCTTGAGCTTTCCAGGAGTTTAGGGTTTAGGGGCTCGGGGCAGCCGAGGGTTTGGGTGGTCAGTGGTTGTTGTTTGAGGGGCCGTAGAAAGACTTGCAACACGCGCCATCCGCTTAAGAAAACACAAGAAGTGTGCCAACGATCTCCCAAAAACACAGAACGCGCGCTCGCACCTCCAAAGTCACCTCTCTCTTGGCCAGCATGGCCTGCAACAATTCCCACGCGGTTCAGTCTGGGTAAAGTTCAGGCTTGACTTGAGGGTTTTGGCTTCAAGCTGAAGACAGGCAGGTTGTCTCTTGGCACTTGTGTCGAGCTCTTTGGGAGGACGTCCTTTGAGGTTGCAGGTGCTGCAGGGCGTGCGGGCGCCCTGGACGTACTACGAAGAGTGTCAAGGACTTTCTTGCCATTGACTTCTCATGCGTGGGCCTTGAAAACTGGAGCTTGGCCATGTTCTAGGATTCCAAAAGCAACATCACACATCTGCCGCTCGCACCATGGCCACTTGCGCAACTGCCACGAGCTTCTGCAATTGCAGAGCAGCTGCTTGGCGCCGGACAAGACCCGGCCATGCTGAAAGTGCTGCTTGAGAACGACCCTCTCTGTCAGCAACTCTGCAATTCTTGGCATCCACCTCCCTGACCTCTGCGAAATCACCCTCGAACACACAACCTGTCCTCAGGTATCGCGGGTCCTGGGACTCGTCGCGCAGCGTGCCGCGTAGGTCGGTGCGGCCCCGAAAGCCGATTGAAAACACGTTGCAACCCGACCCTGACACATTGGGATGCATGCCATACACATCGTACCGCTCATCCTCTTTCAGCCACAGACGACGCGCTCTCACCGGCATCAGTGCCCAACACAAGCCCTGCCGACACAAATTTGGTGCTTGGCTGGAGATGAACGAGAGGACTCGCAAGGCACGCAACGTGCACATCACGTGGCTCGCCTAACCTTGCAACTGGAGGAGAAACGACCGCGCCGCTGCAAGATTCTGGATTCACTGAAACCTAAACCTAAAACATGACATGTAGGCTCGCTGCGAGAAGCTTCTCGGACGACCAGTCCCAGAAAGTAGCCGACTACTAACCAAAGCCTCAGAAGCACCCTGAAGCCTTGGTTTTGAACAGCACCTGGAAGCCAAACCCTACAGGGAGCTTTTAGAATCAAATGTGGAGCAAAATCCCACAAAAATGTAGGAAATCGTTGGGGGCCCGTTTAGAAGCCATCCTAAACCCTATGTTTCCTTAATCCTTCTACCTCCTAAGCCCGCAAGCTGCACTAAACTTGATGAAGGCTTAAGCTAAACACCCACCTCATATACTGGTCTCCGAGAATTCCCTTTTTGCGACAAGCCCTCACCACCCTAAGCCCAAACCCTCATGATGCAAAAGCACCGAAAACGCTTCTCTGCCCACCTGCCGCAGGCGGACCCCGTTGAAGGCCAGGCCGATGACGGCGAAGCCGATGAAGATCCTCATAACTGCTCTAAGGTTTAAGCTTGAGGGAGTGTAAGCTTTTACCAGGATTTAACTTAGGGTTTATATAGGTGCATAGGTGTCCTGACGCACCAGGCCACTCAATCACCACAAGGCCATCACCAGCTCTAAACTGGGCACTGCCGGCCCACGTGCAAGAGCTGTGTGGGGTCCGACTGGGCCATGCCGATCTTCCAGCTCATCCAGTGCTCAATAGGGCACCGTTGCGCCTGCAAACCTCAAAAATCCCTTAGCCTACTCTTAGGCGGGTACTGATCGACAGGGGAACTCTTGAGGCAAGTCAAGCGCATGCTCCATGCCCGTCTCAACCCTGCAAACCTTGGTGCGCAAGACGCCCCGACAACGAACGTCTCCAAGCAGTATGAAGTATGAAACCAAAACCCAAACCACTGAAGCCTCAGGCTTCGGGCAAGAAGCATCCCAATGGGCGCCCATGAGTGATCTCCGGCATAAAGGGCGGGCCACCCTGGTTGCTGCTGACCGTCTTTTGCCACTTGAGGCCACTTGGCTCTGGGGCGGAAGATTGGCTAGGATACAGCACCCTAAAGCGCACGGCGGGATGATACTACACTCGTTACACAAAATAGCAGGATGGCCCTTCATGAAAGCATGGACTAAGCAGCACGCTCCCTCACTGCTCGGTGAGACGATGCTGCCTCACTACTTCGGGTTCAGGTTGGGGTTTGGGGGTTTTCCAAACCGACGCCCCGGCCTGCAACTGTTATCGCCACGCCAGGCACTGCCACGCAGAGGGACACGACGCTGTACAGGACAGGTCGGCAAAGAAGCTTGCCTTGGGTTTAGGGTTTCGACGGGTCCATGTGCGAAGTCGGCCACGCAGCTTCTTGAAGTCTCATTCCAGCTGCTGCTGCAAACCATCAACTTCATGGGATTTAGGGTTTCTCTGGGAGAAATGGAGGTTGGAGACGCGGCACTGGCATGATCCGGTTTCCAGGGGTATAAGGAGGGAGCACTAGAAGGGACCCTTCATGTCATCTTCTTCCCTTATATAACCCCTATGTAAAGTCGGTTGCAGGAACGTGGTCTGCCTCACTCGAAAGATCGGGGACTTTTACCCGATGGCACGAACTCAGCTTCGCACATGTGATCTGGAATTCTGAGACCGCGCAGTCCAAAAGAATGTAGAAGCTTTTAACCTAGACGATCTATCATGCGTTTGGGTTGAATCACCCATCCAAGTTGAGGAGCAGCACAGCAGCATCAAATTCCCCTTGCTGTTGGCAACAGCTCACAAGCTAGTTGCCTCTATGGATGAACCAGGCGAGGCATGATGGTCCACGGCCACTTCAGGCCAATTTTTCGCTCCCTTCAAGCTGCAAGCTCAATTACGTTCTAAGGTTTACAGCTTTCATAATACCAAAAAACCCTGAACTCCCTCTAAGCCCTGAGTCGGGTAAGCGCCGGTCAGGGAAGACCCGCAACTCGCAACTCCAATTGCCGCTGTCCCCGAGGCCACCAAGATGCCCACGTTCCCCGCGGTGCACGCGGCATCAATCTCCTGGCTGCCATGCAGGAGGCAAGAGAGGTTAGAACCGTTTCAGTGCTGGGCGTCGGGTGCTTAGGATTGTGAAAGTCGTTCGGAGCTCGGCTCGCCTTTGTACCTATCCTTCTTGTGGCTGGCTTTGAGTGAGCCCCATCACTTAAGTGAGGTCCCGTGCCCCAAGTTCCCACACATTTCCTTTCGGTGTGATTCTTAGCCAATGCGGCAGAACCCTTATTTCCAGAAATCTGCCCGCCATGTACTAGCTGAAGCTCCTCGTCTCGCAGCATTCTACGTTGGCAGTTGGCTACGGGCTGCGTCGGTAGGGCCCGTTCACTCTGTTCTCTCCATCTTCCCTCGTGCCTTCCTTCCTTCCTGCCTTCCTTCCTTTCCTTCCCTCCCTCCTTCCCCTCGGAATTTGAGTAGGGAGGAAAGCGGGGGGTGTTGCTATGGGAGGGAGGATTATTTGGGCACCGACCCGCCTAGCGCAGCCACTCACACTCACCCTCACACACACACACAGACATACATACATACATACATACATACATACATACATACATACATACATACATACATACATACATACATACATACATACATACATACAGACATACATACATACATACATACATACATACATACATACATACATACATACATACATACATACATACATACATACATACATACATACATACATACATACATACATACATACATACATACACACACACAGACAGACAAAGAGAGCTTATGACTTGCGCATCTTGGAATTCAAAATGTTTGGAGATCTGTCCAAGGCGCAGAAGCAAAGAAGTGCTCCAGAATCTGCATCTGCGCAGACCCCACGACTTTGCCCTCCTGTGCTGGCTGACTTGGTCCCCCCAGCCCTAAACTCTAGAGCGGTTCTGCTTTGCCGAGGCTTATAATGTGGCCAATGAGGGTGCCACTCGGTCATGGCCCCAGGTTCGCGCTGAGAGGGTATGGGGGGGCGCATAGGCTTATGGGGTATGGGGATACCCCAGCAACAGTCAGAATTTCAGGGCTTGGGGCTACGAATCTCTGAAGGGCTGGTGGCCTCCTGTAAGCCTGTAAGCTGTCAGGGACCTGCCTTGCAACTCGGGGAGCTCGCAACTCTCATCGCCTTGAAACAAGCACACCTTCAACCACAGCTGGGTCTTTCCCCCAGGTGTCGCATCGGCTAAACCTTTGACAGCAGCCAAGCGTCGAATTCGGCGGAGTTGTCCGCATGGCGCTTGATGGGCGGCATCAGGAGGCCAGACAGGGGATCGACGACGGACTCGCCTGGACAGACCCAGGGGACTGGGTCTTAAGGGTACCGGTTCACGGGGTCTCGTTGCACATGGATATCAATCTCGAGACACGACCCCTTACCCGGCCTTTCTGGTGTGCGAGCACGCCATTGACGATCTCTGCGTGCTGCTGGGAGTTGCGCAGTTTGAAGAAATACCTACTTCAGGGAGAACTGCGGATGTTTGGGGACAACCTTAAAGGTCCAAGGCGCGAAAGTCCTTGATGTGGTCGGAGCTGGAGGAGCTTCCCGGGACCCCAAACTTTGAGATACTTTGAGCTCCGTGACCCCCCCCCCCCCCCCCAAGTCAACCCTCCCAACCCCAAAGCCTACGCCCTACGCCTTCCGGGCACTAAAACGTCCAAAATCCCGCACAATCCCACTTGGGTGGCCAGCCACTGTTTATTCGTGGCAGCCTTTTGACACACGATCTGGGCGTGGACCTGTGCCTCCAGTGCACTGCTACCGTGGGTCGACCCCACCGCAGCAGAACCCCCACCCTCTCCATAGCAAAAGCCCTCCGTCCAGAAAACGTCCTGAAACAGCAGCGATTTGACTTCGTGCAGAGGTCTTCTGCCCCGCCACGTTTGTGAACTCAGACTCAGAGCATCAGCTGCGCATGGCACAGCTCAGAAGCAAATGGCTCTCGCAACCCCTACGGCCCCTAAAGCCCCTGAGCCCAACCCCTAAACTTCTGCAGCTTCGGGGCAGCACAACGCACCCCAAGAGGCCGGCCACGCCGGGAACGACGCTGTAGGACACACGGATCACCTGAGAATCGGGGATCAGGGTTTTGGGTTGGAGGTTTTTGGAGTGGTTCAAGGCTTGGGGCTTGGGGCCTTTTCTTGAGAACCTTTCTTAGCCAAGGAAGCGCATTTTCAGAGAAATATCTACCAAGGAGGGAAGCCTGCAGGGTTGCAGGTCCCTAGAAATGTCGACGCGGAGGGTTGATGATGTTGCGGGCCTTCAGGCGCCTCAGCTCTACAGTTTACCTCACTTGTTCGGACAGGGTGAAGAGTAAAGAGGGCCAAGTTGATGTGGATCCGCGCATGATCGTGAGAACTGTCATCGCTTTTGGCCCCGGTGCCGTGAATGGGGTTGGGTGTTCTAGAAGAGGATACCTCCTGCATGTCCAGCATCTAGAAGTCTCATAGCTTGAAACGACAAAAGCTTCCGTTAGAGGCGGCGGCGTGAAGTCGCCTGCAACGTATACCGGCTCAATTTGGTTGACAAATTCTTCAAGATGGTCCCAAAAAAAGTTGGGTCCCAAACAAGTTGTCTGGCAGAGTCGAAGTCGAGGCCTGAGTGGGGTGCATATGCTCCTAGCCAGCGTACTTGACCATGCTTCTGCTTGAAGGCAAGACGAGAAAGCCATCTGCTCCTGACAGGGACTACCCCAAGGATGATGGCTACTACCCCCATCATGTTTCTTCGTTGTGTTGAACAAGGTGACTAGATGCTGCTCAATGTATTGAAAGTAGTACGCTGTGGACCTGATGTCAGTTAGGAACTTGATCTGAATATTGTGCTCCTTCATGATAACTATCAAGCGCTTTTAGCTTACGTGTGTCGTACATTCTGAGCACCGACCGTAAGTTTACCGTTGTAAGCTGGGGCGGTGTTATCCGGCATTGCTTCCTTGATCCCCTCCTTTTTCCTTTTGAGACTTCTTGGGTGTGGAGTAACGCGTGTACCTTGCAATCTCCAACTCCCATTCTTGCACCAGCTCTGCTGGCCTGTTTCGTTTGCTTAATGGCAAAAGCCTAGATGTGGTCTGAGGAAAAGGCGGGAGAGGAGGATGAGCATACTGTGGGCGTCATGAAAGAAACCAACAAATCTGAATCATATCTGTGATGCAGCAAGTTTGAGTGAGCTGCCTGCCGTTTGGCATTCGCTTTCCGCTGTGTCCGCCCGACTAACTGACAAGATACCAGCCCCCCCTCCCCCCCCATCCTTCCAGGATCTTGCCTTTCAAGAAGGGCTCCGTATTCTGAAATGCGCCTTTAAGTTCCACAAGTGGCACCTTCGTGCATGGCTCGGTGGCCTTTGTTGTGGAGTCCTCTTCGTTCCTCTCGACATCTGGGCACTGCTTTTTTCACCTGGTAGACCTTTCTTTCCAGCGACTTGTGCAGATCCACAGCTGCCCGGGCGGCTTCACAACCCAGCATATGAGCGAAGCATCGGAAAAGGCAGAGCACCCTGCCAGCCATTTCCAGGTAGACAGGGCAGACAACTCGCATCTAAGGACACGATTTGAGCCAAATACGCCTCAAGCTTAGGGTGGCAGTGAATCGCGCAAGGTCAACCTTGGCAGCCACACTTCTTCTTCAAGGAACAGGTTCAGCCGA